AGGCTTGGGTCCTGCCGGACGCCGTCGCGCAGGTCCCGCCTCAGCGGTGCGCCGCCTGTTTCAAAGCGGGAGCCATGGCTGAGCAGGGCCTGGAGATGGCTTCTATGATTCCGGCGCTGAGGGAGTTGGCCAGGTAGGACGGATCCAGCCTCCGCCTCATAGGGTGGATGGAGGATGTGCGCTGAGTTGTAGGAAGCGTGCCTGGCATCCGCATCAGCGTGTAGCGTAGGGAGGTGCCAAAATAGATTCTTTCCCTGTCGCCGTGCGAGGTCTCCCGGGACTGGGTCTGCACTCTCTCCCTCATCCTGGTCGCCTTCTCCCGCCACCTGCCCGGGTTGCTCCCTCCCTCACAGGTGGCGCTGGTAGAACCTGATGGGAGAAGTGTGTTGACTTACATAGCATCCGGCGTTCTGGGGCCTTCCGCTATGTCTGCGGCGTGGTTTCGACCTTGAAATTATTTGGCTCTAAGATTTTGATGGCAGCATTAAGACTGCAGCTTTGTTTTGTTAGTTAATACGGAAGTGCTCACAAATTGCTAGCTGCCGTCTTAGTCACCTGAGCAGTTGCTATCGGCAACTTAAGAGTTGCCTCTTAATTTTGGTTGACTCCAAAAGTGAAGCAGGTTCTTAATTTTATTTATTCCTGCACCAAAGCTGGTTTGTTGATTGGTAGTATCATGTGGATGAATCTCTTAGTCTGCCTGATGTGGAACTAATATATATCAAACATAATAGTGTAAAAAAATGAAATTATCTTCAGCACTTAATAAGATTTTGTATTTCTGAAGAATAAAGACAAAGAGGAACAGGCCATACACTGGCCACTAAAACAAGAAATCAATTGGGATTTCTTTTTTAAGACTTCTAAAAGAGAAATAAAATATCAGTGTTTGACATCGTGTTGCTGAGATAGACTTCAAAGAATTATTTTGCCTTTCAAAATGGATCTTGTCAAAATAATGTACTTTCGATTTTAGTGCTAGTCCAGAAGAATACAATACAGTTGTGCAGAAACCAAGACAAATACTCTGCCAGTTCATTGACAGAATTCTTACAGATGTAGATGTTGGTAAGTATTACATCCTCATCTTTAAAATTATTACATGCCTAATGTTTTAATTCCTGGCAATAAAAAAAAAGCTACAACTCTCATTTCAACAAAGATTTGGTAGTTGAATGCAATACCCTTTATGACTTATTTTTTAATAACTTCCATGATGAAGTATTTGCTGTTATGGTGTGAAGTAACTTAAAAAAAAAAAAAGAAGGGGGATTGTAACGCAGGGTTGTATGAATATGAATGCTAGCAGTGTTCAAAATCAGTAGTATCATGTAATGTGATTGTTCATCGAGTAATATAGCTTGCAAGTCTTAATACCCAGAACTGAAATACTTTGATGTAAACAGCTTTATTTTTCATATTAGAAATCAAGCAAAGCCTTATTTTAGTATTCCTTAAATCATGTTAAGGTTACAGTTATTACAGTACTTTAACAGTATTTTGGTAATTATAAAATACATATGCTGCAAAATCATAATTTGTAGTTATCTGTACCTTTACATCAAGGAGAATCACAGTAAACAGGGTAGTTTACTGTTTCTAAGGTATAATTTCATGTTGCTGTCTCAGTAAGACTGGTATTTTGTCAATTGATAGTTGATCAATTTAAGGATCATACTCATGTTAGATGTGTTTGTTAATTCTCTTATAGTCCTGAAAGGGAAGGCTATCAAAAGTAAAACAAGAAGCGTATCTGCTTTAGATACTGCTTTTGAATACATAAGTGTTGTATTTCATCATTATCATGTAACTTTTCTCATTAATTGCTACCTGAATCTGAGTTTCCTTCTTGTATAAATCTGATGTGATTCATATAGCTGTGTCAATGGAGCTATACAGCAGCATTAGATATGTTTAGTATTTTGCTAAACTTTCTGTTTCAGGAAGTTGAAATCTTCATTTAAAGTGTTTTATTTATTGGAGATTTAGAACAAATCTTATAAGGGTTTTTTTCACCAAGATTGCAAACCTAGGAAAAATTGTATCATTAAAATATTAACTATTTGCTATTCTTCACTCCTCAAGCAGATATAAAACTGACATGTTAATACATGTAATGTTAATGAATAATGTTTAAGTTGAGTAACTTATAGTTTTCTTCATACAGTTCGGTGTCACATAGAGGGTCTACAATATGTACAAATCATCTTCATGGATTAATAAAGCACACTCCCAATTAATAATTGTGCAGGTTTAATACCATATCATAGTATTTTATATAAAAAATTTCTTCTTTCTCTTTAAGTGTAAACAAAATCTGTGCAGTTGATTTATTGCAATGCTAATTAAGAAATCTGCTTTGTTTTTTTTTTTAAGTTGCTTTGGAACTGGTTAAGAAATCAGATTCACAGCCAAGTTCTGTAATGTTGCTTGATTTTATTCAACATATCATGAAATCTTCTCCGCTTATGTTTGTAAATGTGGATGGAAATCAGGAGGAAATTGACTGCAGTTGCATTGGTGAGTTTGTTGAAGCTTGATATTTTCAGGATTTAAATTTTGTGACAAGGGGATCGTACAAAAGAATAAAAATGGGGAAAAAGCAGATTTGTAAGCTCAGCACTACATATTTATAAGTAAATATTACTGTAGACTTTTAATATTGTGAATTGATTTGCGCTTGTGATAATGGAAATTTATCAGGACAGTTTGTTCTTCTTCATTATCATTTCTTAGTGATATTACTGGGTTCGTGTTGATAAGATACTGTGGGTTTTTTTGACAGAGGAAATTCCACACTACCACCTCGTGCATGCACTCCTCCTCTCTTTTTCTCTTTTTCAATAAGATCTGATGAAGAAATGTTCCACCGAAGTCTTTGTTTACTAAGCCTACATGCATTTATCTCAAAGACTTTTTTTTTGTTTAGCAGCTTCCTCTCAAGGAGGAGCTCAGAGTGGGAGGTTTTGGTTATCTTAATAATTTTCTGTTTGCTGTTTCTTTTTTTTTATCATCCTAGAATTTAGTAACTGGATCCTCACAAGGCTTCTCCGAATTGCTGCAACTCCAAACTGCAACACGTTGCACAAGAACATTTGTGATGTCATTTGCTCTTTACTTTTTTTGTTTAAAATGAAGAGTTGCTCCATTTTTGAAGTACTAACAAAAGACTTGCTGCAGCTTTTCCAAGATTTAATCCTCCTGCATGAAAGAGATGCACAAAAGCATCTCTGGGGAGATGGACTGGTCTGGCCAGTGACTGTAAAGAGATTTTCAAGCAGTACAAATGACAATGTGGGATATTTAAGATTGGCACCATTACAGTTGATGGGTATGCCCAATGTAGAATGTTTGGAAGTTATATTAATGTCTATTCTCACAGATATTGTTGCAGATGTGTTTTTTGTAAGACAAGATGTTATTCTCTGGGGGATAGGCTGCTCCTTGTTGGAGTATGGCAGTCCAAAAGTTAAAGCTTTGGCAGTGAAGTTTTTAGTAAGATTAATTCATTTAGGAGGACCTCCGGAACAGCTGGCCAGTTTTTTCTTCACAGTCTTTTTTGGAATTCTACAGTCAGCACTTGAAATGGATACTGAAGAATCAGAACTCCTTGGAGAACCACTCTTACTGTTGGTGAGGACATTGCTGCCTTTTGAAACAGATTCTTACAAAAGTATTGAACCTGTATACTTGAATATGCTACTAGAGAAGCTCTGTGCATTGTTTGAAGGTGATGTGTTTAGGTGTCTTCAGTCTGAAAAGCTGAAAGCTGCTTTTTGCCATATACTGCAATATTTTCTGGAGTTTGTTCCAACTGGCTATGAATCTGCCTTGCAAGTAAGGAAAGTCCATATCAGTACCATATGTGGAACTTTTGTGAATGTGCTTGGAACTCAGGAGGAACAACAGGTAGGTTAATTCTGAAAACTGCATTTATCATGTGAATAGCTAATGCACAAAACCCTACACCTGTGCAAAGAAGAAAATCTTGGAAATACTATTTTTAGTTGTGTATTTAGGCTGATGCTTCTTGTTTCTCAACTGTTTCACATATTTGTACAGGTCAGAGTTCTTTAATTAGTTGGCTGTACCTGGACCCTGTGTTTTTTAGATGTATTAAACTATTGAGAAGCTATGCAGGCACGAGGGTCTGTCTGTAATCATAGCATAAAGTGACGATAAGGCACAATCCTATAAGGGCAGCTTTACAATTAATTTCTCTTCATCTGAGCTGCTTTTACTTTCTAACCATTTGCTTTTAGTCATATTTGTTGCTGCTAGACAGACAGAAGGGTTTGAATTAAAAGAGAATTTTAGAATAGTTTGAGTTTGAAAGGACCCTTAAAGGTCACTTAGTCCAACCCCCCTCTGCAGTGAGCAGGAACGTCTTCAACTAGATCACATCGCTCGGAGGCCTGTCCAATCTGACCTTGAATGTTTCCAGGGATGGAGCATCTGCCACCTCTCTGGGCAGCCTGTTCTGGTGTTTCACCATCCTCATCGTAAAAAGATTTCTTCCTTATATCCAATCTAAATCTACTCTCTTTTAGTTTAAAACTGTAATGAGGTGTTTAAAATGAGGTGTTGGTATGCTGAGTGTTCCCTCTCGGGAAGGAACATGGGAAACATCACTGTTAATGAGAATTTTCATCTTGTAAGTAAGATTTTTTTTTTTGAACAGAAATGTTTTGAAGAACTGTTACCGTAATACCTTGAAATTTTATATTTGAAGTCAGAAACAATAATACTAAGTCTTTGAGAAGTAAGGCATAAATGTACATCATGGTACCTCTGTTTGTCCGTCCCAGTATCTGGTGAGTCCACTTTATACAGCATTAAAAACACAAACGGAAGAAATCTTTCAGGAGCTTCATCAGAACCAGGTAGATACTTCTGATACTGATGGATGGAGCAGCAGCAGTGATGAAATTCCAGAGAAAAGACGACGACTAAGCCTATCAACAAAGCATCCAAAGAAGCTGCCTGCAGCAGTAATGTATGACACTTACTTAACTAATTTTATAGTAATTTGGCTAGTGAATAATAACAGATGACAACTTTTTTGAGGAAGTTTTTTCATAACGGCCACATTGACAGATCTTACAGGGAAAAATCTAAACGATATTTTGAAATATCAGAATCTACAGATGATTTTTAATCCAAACTTCAGTTAAAAAGACTGCATTGAACATATTAAAAATACAATTTTTTTTTACACAAAGAAAACAAAAGCTGAGAATACACACAGAACAACAGAATCATATATGTGGCTGTGCAGTTGCACTGGACATGCCTAAAACAGACCTAGTTAAGTCAAGTTGTTCTCAGATGAATAAAGTCAGTTCTCAGCCTCTGCCTGTAATGTGATTCACCTCCCTGATTATCTTTGACTTGCTTCAGCATGTTGATCTCTTTCTTGTATTTGGGCACTCAAAACTGGTTCCAGCATGCCATGTTCCAGGTGTGGGCTCATGATCAGCTTTCGCTCTTGATATTACAGCCCAGTATGTAGTTGACTTTCTTTGCAACAAGGTCACACTGCTCTTATATTCAACTTTTCCACAAGTCCACCAAGTCATTTTCACTAAAACTGCTTGCTAGCCAGTCAGCTCTCAGCCTGTTCTGTTGCATGGGGTTTTTCTGTACTTGTTGCATGTCTTTTCATATGTCTCTGACCTCCATGAGGTTCTTGTCAGCCTAGTTTTCCAGCCAGTTGAGGTCCTGCAAATAAGGAGCTCTCCTTTTATCCACAGAGCTACCTGTCTAATTGTTGAAAGGAATCAAGTTAGTCTGGCATGATTTGCCCTTTGTAAATATGTGCTGGCTGTTCCCAGTCACCTTCTTGTCCCTTATGTGACTAAAGATGAATTCAAGGAAGAATTTTTCCATAACCTTCCCAGGGACCTAGGTTACACCGGCAGGCCTATAGTTCTTTGGATCCTCTTCTTAGCCTTTCTTGAGGATGGGTGTAACGTTTGCCTTTCTATAATCATCAGGAACCACCTTGGTCACCATGACCCTTCCAAGGATTGTAGAGTCATTCCTTTATAGCCTTTCAGATAAGTCTGATTTGTGTCATATCTAACTTCAGAGTAATTGTCTTGCTCTCTCAAAGAGCACATTTAAGCTAATGCTTCATTTGATATTTTCCTAGTACTGTATCCAATATTAATTAGATCTGGTTTTGCTGTGATGATTTATCTTTTCTGGGGGGGGAAAAAAAGGTACTGGAAAATAATTAATATGATCAAATTACAGACTTAGTCCTGTAAACATGAAATTGAAGAGCACTCTGTGGAATGCTATTATGAAGAAAGCTGCATCATTAATATTTATCCTTGAGAAAGAAATTCTGACAGTGGATGTTCTTCAGACTGTAGAAGGGATTGCTGTAATTCTGCGACTAGCTGCTTTGTGCATAGTTCATTGTTCTCCCCCAGCAAATTCTACCAGGTAAAGGTTCCAAGGTGAAACCATGAGACGGATAGTTTCTTGTAATTGTTGTTATGACTTTTGTAGATTACGTTAATGCTTGTCCATGTATCAGGATAAGTCTTGTATGTTTTGAAGTACGTTTTTATAGTAACTTTGCTTACAAGCAATACAATATTAAATGTTTATAGTCTGCATTGATCATATGATTTCTATTTCAACAGTATGGATCATAAAGTAACTCATCTGTGTAACTCTGACACACAAAAGAATACTCCGAGCTCCTCAGATTCAGTGGTGAATATACAGTTCACGTGGATTTCCTCTGATCTTATCACAAGAGTAGTGAAAGTCTGCAGAAACCTGTTAGAGACTGCTACGCAGCTGGTTAACATAGAACAAGTGATTGACAGAGTAGTGAAAATCTTTGATGCTTTACTGTATGCACAAGGTGAGAAATTCTTTAAACTAGTGTGTCTTTTGTTGGATTTGTAAATTAGGAATGCATCTGACTAAACTAGTCTGTTGTGGTAGAGGTACTGAAATTACAGATACTGCGTTAGAACATCAATTCCTGTACAAAAATTTTTTTTGTGACGTGCCCTCAACTGTTTAGTGAAATTTTTCAGATTATTTTGATGTAACACTACATCATTTATTATTGTATGTATAAAATGCAGCATGTTAACATGTCGGAATAGTGATACTAATCTTTTTATGTTGGTAGAAAAAATAACATTTTGTAGCAAAATAAGAATATAAAATAATGAAATATGCATCTGTTTTATAAATGATACAGGTATCAGTTTTTTGTTGTTTTGGTTTTTTTCCCCTAGTGAAAATTTCACTGAGTGATCAGATTCTTGATAACTTATGTGGACTGCTGTCTCTGCCCTGGATTTACAGCCATCCTGATGATTCTTCTTTTAAGTCATCTACTTTTGGGTTTGATCCTCTAGTTCTGAGTCAAAATACTGCACAGAGTTTCTGTAAGTACGTTAAAGTATATGAAGTCTAATATCTCTCGAATTATTTTTTTTTTAAAGTAAAATTACTTTTTTTGCTCTCTTATGATGATTGATGATATTAAATGATTAAATCAAGTCATTATCTGCTCTGCTTTATTTTGTTTTTTCTCTTCAGCACCCCAAACTCAGTCACATTGTGTGTTCCTTCTGTCTCTCTTCCCAAGAAACATTTGTCTGAATTGGAGAAAATCCATTTATTATTGGGCACTACAAAGTCCTCATGAAGTAATTCGGGCTACTTGTGTTAAAGGATTCTTTCTCCTGCTTCATCCACCAAGTGTGCAGTCCTGCAGTATGATTCCCAAAGCTCTTCTGTATGTATTAATGCTGCTTTTCTGTCTTCATGCAAGAAGGAAAACTGACAAATGAGACATATATTATAAGCACAAAAAGAAATATTTCACAGAATTTCACAGATCTTGATTTCAGAAATCATAAGCTTTCAACAAGATATTTGTAAGGGACCATGTCTATATGATAGAACAGCATTCACTTACCATGCCAGTATACAAGTTACTTCACTAGTTGAAGACCACATTTCTAATTAACAAATTTAAACTAAGTAAGAGAAAGGAGATATCTTTGTCAGCTAAGCATACATGATATTTGTCCATATGTATCTTTAAGTCTTTCTCAGCCTTTTGTATATATGTCTGTCATACCGTATGTGGTCTGCAGTTTCTTTATAATATGCCAGACTCACCATGTCCAGTGCTGCTTCAAACATTTAATACAACTTGAGGGTAATCTGAAAAAGATAATTTAGTGATACAGGTCTCTAAATTGTGTCCTACTAGTACTTTTGGTACAGTTAGAAAATCCAGACAATGCAGAAATAGAAATTTCTAGGTAAATGATTTATTAAAATGGTCTCATTTTTGTTTCCGTTTCAGAAATCAAATCAAAGATGAGTCTGAGCTAGTCAAGGAGGCTTGTGCTGCTATAGTTGGGAAATTATCATGCTGTCTTTCTGGTACATTCAGCGTACGACCTTCCTTAGCAGACTCTGCTATTAAGCATCCTTCTTATGATATTTTATGTAGCAGCCTTACTGTGACTTCTGCTGATGAAAAGACTTGTTCTGTGCAAGCCTGTGTTTTCAAGCCATTTCTTACTTTGCTGGAGAACAAAGTATCCAGTACAGTAAAGCTAGGTATGCGACTCTACCTTTGTTAACATTTTGCACTTCTGTATGAGATACTAAGTCACTACTTCTGTACCTTTCTCCATTCTTTTTTTTAAATTTAATTTTTTATAGCTGCAATGGTGTTCGAAATGTATTTCAGTTATCACTGCTAATGTTTGATGTTGTCATTGATGTTCTTTTAAACTACCTTGGCTTAACTTTGGTCTGTGGCTATATATAGAAATGTAATACTTGATAAAATCTGAATTCTAAATAGCTTATCTGGTTTGACAGTATTTACTCTTTTGATTAAAAAAAATATAGTGTGCTTTATGGCTTACTTGCATCACTGTTTTGAGCGCTTTAATAGATTTTTTTTAAAAGCATTAAAAAGAATTTTTCCTTTCTTTCTCCAATCAATGCCACCCAGCATTTATAGAAAATATACCTCATCTTTGCAAACATCTGGATTTTAACACTGATGAGTCCAGTGTGAAGATTCTCGTTGGGTCTTTATTAAATCTAATGGAAGATCCAGACAAAGATGTAAGAGTGGCATTCAGTGATTGCATAAAGAACATACTAGAATCCTTAGACTCTGAAGAGGGATTCATAAAAGAGGTGAATTCATATTTAGTTTTGGTTGTTTTTCATTACTTACTACAGGTTTTGTTTCACTAGTGTCAAACACTAACATTTTTTGGTTTGGTTTTGTTCCATTTTCATGTGTTCCAGCTGTTTGTTTCAAGAATGAAAGAAGCCTATACAAATGCCAAAATATCAAGAAATAATGAGCTGAAAGATACTTTGATTCTCACAACAGGAGATATTGGAAGGTATTTTTGATAGTATTTTGAGAATTGCAAAGCCGTGTCAGTTTGTGATGCAGTGTAACTTTTTGTTGTGTCATATGTGTAAATTAAAGTACTTATTTCAAGGTCAGCCTTTGTCCAGAGCCCTTTGCAACTGTACTAAGCTGTTGGTTCATGTGGAATATTCCTCATTTTCTTCTGCCTTGTCATAAGAAGTGCAGATAAGCTGTTCATGTACGATGCAGAGTCATTTTGCATTATGGTACTTGTATATTCTTAAGTAATTTTATTAATGCAATGATTCTTTTTTTTCCTTTTTAATTCTTTTTTCTTCTGCTTACTTTGTAAGGGCGTCAAAAGGAGATTTGGTACCATTTGCCCTCTTGCATTTGTTACACTGCTTGTTGTCCAAATCAGCTTCTGTGGCTGGAGCAGCATACACAGAAATTCGATCCCTGGCAGCAGCTAAGGGCATAAAACTGCAAGCTTTTTTCAGTCAGTACAAGAAGCCTATCTGTCAGGTAAGACAGATAAGAAAAGAGTCGGTGGTTTAGAGAGGCATACGTCCATGTTCTTTTTGTCTATTTTGAAAATGGTATTAAAATATAAAAATTACAGTATTTTACAAAGTGAAATCTCATAGGATAAGAAAGAGATGGTTTAACAAACAAAACCCACAAACATTCAGGAAGGAATGGGAAATCTTTGACTTTGTCGTAGTCTTCTCCCCTCAGCAGTACTGCTTTACTTTTTTATTCCCTGTACGCTGTCATTCTAAAATAAAGGAATTATATAATTTTTTGCATTATGTGGTGCTATTGACACAAGAGGCTATGATTTAAAATTGGAGTCTAAGTCAACATTTTATAGGCATAAACTGACATGATTTATTTGTTCTTTTGTTATACCCATTACTTAAAGACAGAAGCTCTGTTCAAAATAAAACTATCAAAAGCAGACTTTTAAAATTTTGAATATTTTTTTAATAATGCAATGTCTGAATCCAGGATTGCAAAATTAAATGCAGTTATTAGGTGGATAATAATCCAGTTCTGTTGCAAAGTAGTGATCATAGATCTATGCACAATAAATGAGAAAGAAAAGCAAATGCATAGAAAGAGGACTGAAAGTCTTGTGTTTATTTTTAGGGAGCCTGGAAGGGGGAAATTAATACTAAATATACATATTTCTTCATCTTAGTTCCTAGTGGAATCCCTGCACTCCAGCCAGATGGCAGCATTGAGTGCTCCATGCCAAGGGAATGAGCTACAGAAACAAACAGCTGCTCACCAGAGAGAAATGGCTCTGGACATGTTATCTGAGATTGCCAATGTGTTTGATTTTCCAGATCTAAATCGCTTTCTCTCAGTAAGTTGGTCAGTCCTTTTTACCTGTGGGGTTTTTTAAATTATTTTTTTAAATTTGTCTGTGCGCTTGTGGATTTCTGTTGTCATTCACTGAAAATTTTGGAGTACATGTATCTGATTTTTTTTCTTTAATTGCTGTTGTTTGGTTTAATATAGAATACTTTGGGATTGCTGCAACTGGAAGCTCAGATACAGAGGAACAGTTTTATCAAGGAGTTACAGTGATGGCTACAGTGCTAATTCGAGTGTGAGAGATGAGGAGCTAAGATCTAGAGTACTCATTGAGTATATCTATATTCATGATATCTACACAGATTTTTTTTTGTAAGGCACGAGTTTTGCATGGTGTCTGCTTTCTTGCTTCAAATGAAGAAGGCTATTGTTCTGTGGATAGGTCTCTCTTTGGTGTGGTTACTTGAAGCCTATGTAGTTTTGTACTCATACTTGTATTTTGCTTGTTGGTAGGTGGGAAATGTACAGCCATGAATTAAGCAGTATTCTAGTTGACTGGTAGGTTGAGGGAGTGTTGTATGTGGATGTGTTGGGTTTTTGTTTGCTTATTTTCTTAAGATTTCCTTTTGCGAAGAATCTGTACGGACAAGGAAAATGCCAGCTCACTTTTTGTTTGCGTGTTTCTCAGTATTGATTAGATAAAGCGCCTACTTAAGTAATTATTTTTATTTTATCTGCATTTTTATAAGATACTTCCATCTCATTAACATTGTTCTTTATTCATGCCTGTGGTTGTATGTATGACCAGATGTGTGTTGCTGTACTGACACAAGTGGAACAAAGTCAAACCCTATGTTTTTAGAAGGTTTTTGTTAGTTTGTTTTCCATTAAGTTCTTAATTCATTGTTCTTAATTCACCAGCGCACCCTACAAGTTCTGCTCCCTGACCTTGCAGCTAAGGCTAGTGCTGCAGCCTCCACACTGATTCGAACCATAGCAAAACAGCTTAACGTAAACCGAAGAGAGATTTTAATCAATAATTTCAAATACATCTTCTCTCATTTGGTCTGTTCCTGCTCCAAGGATGAGCTTGAGCGGGCGCTTCATTACCTCAAGGTAAATTGGCATTTGCTCTATTTTACATGTAGCTTCGGAGCAAAAATTGATGAATAGTGAGCTTTCTGCTTCTGTCTTGCAAAGTATAGGTGGGGAAATTGTATACGCAGAAGTCTTGTTCTTGTTGTTATTTGTGATTTGTTCCATTGTCTCTGGGGAACTGTTGTAAGATCTTTTGCTAACTTCAAAACTCTAAAAACACGGTTTATCTGACATTGAGCTGATTGGAAGCTTATATTTTTATTTCTGTGGTAAATCAACCAAAGTCCAATGCCTCCTGTTTCCTAGTGTGCTAGTTTAATTGTGATGAAATGAACACTTGGTTTTGTTTGCTACTTGATTATAGAATGAGACCGAGATAGAACTAGGCAGCTTGCTGAGGCAGGACTACCAAGGACTGCATAATGAGTTACTGCTGCGAATAGGAGAACACTATCAGCAAGTCTTCAATGGTTTGTCTATATTGGCTTCGTTTGCATCTCATGATGATCCGTATCAGGGACCTAGAGAAATAACATCACCTGAACAGATGGTAAGGACATCAAAATACTCGTGTTCATTTTTGTTCAGTAATTTTTCCCCCGTCTGAGGGTGAAGACAATTTGACAGTTTCTGAATGTAGCTTATTCAAAGCAAAAAGTGGAAGAAAGTCTGGCATTTCATATTAAGTGTTCCTGTAATAGAGAGGTACAAAACAAGTATGCATAAAAAACAAAACAGAAAACCCCCAAACAAACAAACTGACCCCTCCCAAACACACAAACCCCAAAATCATCAAAGTAAGAAAGCCTACAGCCTAATAGGAATGTCTTTCATTAGCACTAATAGTTCTTAAGGAGCAGTGTACGTATTTGAAATTCTTCTCATTTGTCTTTCAGAATTAGCATTTCATACTTGCTTTGTGATTTCTTAAGCTTAGAAATGTGTTAATAGTAAGATTTTGAGTTTTACCTTTTTTTTTGTTTGTTTTCTCTCTCCCTTCTCCACAGGCTGATTATCTACAACCTAAATTGCTTGGTATCTTGGCTTTTTTTAATATGCAGTTACTGAGTTCCAGTGTTGGCATTGAGGATAAAAAAATGGTGTGTAAACTTAATTTTGAATAGTAAAACAAAGACAAGCAAGGGCTATTTTGATATTCTACCCTTACTTACGTGATTGTGCAACTGTCATAGAAGTCTCAAAGATACCAAGGTCCTTGAAAACTGATGGTCTCAGTGTGGGTAGGACTTTTGTTTAAGCTCAAGAGTTTGTTTTGTTTCTTTAATGGTCAGCTATTGTACATACTTCAGGCAGACGTGGTACATATAGCAAGTCACTCAACTAGTAGTTGCAGATGAGGAATCCAAGTGTCTGTCTTGTGTGTGTGAAAGAAACAAAGTGGCAGATGAAGGAATATGGGAGAAACTGGAGTTACTGCAGGGAACAGGATTACAAGGGCACCAAAAGGCAAAGCTAAAGAAATCCCAGAGTCCTGAAGGAATTGGCTGATGTAGTTGCCAAGCCACTCCATGATATTCGAAAAGTCAGGGCAGTCAAGTGAAGTCTCTGGTGACTGGAAGAAAGGAAACATTACACCCATTTTTAAAGGGTAGAAAGGAAGACCCTGGGAACTACCGACCTGTCAGCCTCACCTCTGTGCCTGGGAAGGTCACAGAGCAGATCCTCATAGGAGCTATGCTGAGGCACATGGAGGACAGGGAGGTGATTCGAGACAGCCAGCATGGCTTTACTGGGGGCAAGTCCTGCCTGACCAACCTGGTGGCTTTCTACAACAGGGTAACTGCATCAGTAGACAAGGGAAGAGCAATGAATGTAATCTATGTGGATTTCTGCAAAGCCTTTGATGCAGTCCCCTACAACATCCTTCTCTCTGAGTTGGAGAGGTATGGATTTGATGGGTGGATTGTTCTGTGGATAAGGAACTGCCTGGATCATTGCATCCAGAGAGCAGTGGTCAACGACTCAATGTCCAGATGGAAGACGGTGACAAGTGGTGTCCCTTGAGGGACCAGTGCTGTTCAATATCTTCATTAATGATATTGACAGCAGGATTGAGTGCACCCTCAGCAAGTTCGCTGATGATACCAAGCTGGGTGGTGAGGTTGATGTGCCAGAGGGAAGGGATGGCATCCAGAGGGACCTGGACAAGCTGGAGGAGTGGGCCCAGGGGAACCTCATGAGGTTCAACAAGGCCAAGTGCAGGGTCCTGCACCTGGGTCAGGACAACTCTCCTTACTGATACAGGCTGGGAGATGATGTACTCACAGAACAGCTCCTTTCAGCTTTACATGACAGTGCATTTAGAGAAATTAGAGCTCACACGTTAAGATAAAGACTGAAAATTCTGCTTTGCTGAGGCAATGTTTCTAACCACAAGGCAGGGCTTTTAGCCACCTCGCAGAAGTAGTGCAGATGACTTCTGTAGGCAATTTTTCAGTGTGAAAATGTATATAACCTTTATATTGATGGACTACATTTTCTCTGGTGTTCTTTCAAGCTTTTGGTTCTCAGATATTCACACTGAGATACTCAGGACATTTCCTTAGCCCTATGTCAGTTCTGAATTTCTTTGTTTGTCTAGCACTTCTGCTGCGCCTGCTATTGTTTCTATCTTTTTTGTTCTGTTTTTTTGTTCTTGGTGAGTTTCCCTTTCCATGACTGTTCCTCAAGCTCAGGTTTCTTCCTCTGCTACTGATCTGTCATGATGGACACTGTACTACCTTGTTTGGTACAATGTTACTGTGACTGAAACATCTCCTGCTTTTCTGCATCTTAGTATTTCTCCTCTGTCTCTCATCTGTCCTGTCGAGATGTTACCTGTTCCCTTAAACTAACCAATCACTTCTACCAGAGGTTGTGTGTCAGTTCTGTTGCTGGTGTTTTGGTGCAGGTTTTTGGTTTTGTTGTTTGTTTGTTTTTAAATGCAGGCTTGTTTGTTTACTCTCTTTCAGCTTGTAAAACTTTGGACATATAATCGGTCATGTCTTATAACAGACTTCTATAACCATGAGCTCCTTTGGTGTCCACAGTTCTTCACTCATCAATTTGTCAGCAGCCTAAATAATGATTATTTTCTTGTTACAATCCCGTCATTATAGATCCCTTTTCATTCTCTTTTACTGTAACCCCCAAATTCTTTATTGAAACATCAAACTGAATTTGATGTCTTAAGGTATGATTTCTTAAGCCAGAGTAGTCTGATTTCATCAGAAAATACAGCTTGTATATGTTTTACTGAGTGTCTAATACACTAAAATGACTTTTCTCTATGTCTAGGCTTTAAACAGTCTTATGTCGTTAATGAAACTCATGGGTCCCAAACACATCAGTTCAGTAAGAGTGAAAATGATGACTACGCTGAGAACAGCTCTAAGATACAAGGATGATTTTCCAGAACTGTGTTGCAGGTGAACCCAGAGAGTGACAGACCTGTCCTTGAATACAGTTTTTTGTTTTATTCTAGACTGTAATCTAAACCACAGAGCTGAAATACCTTAAAATGCTTATTGTGAGTCACCTACGATGTCTTTATGCAGAGAAGAGTCATTGATTGCTATTGTTTTGTTGTCTTCTCTTGTTCAGAGCCTGGGATTGTTTTGTTCGAAGTCTGGACCATTCATACCTTGGCTCATTACTTAGTCACGTGATCGTGGCATTATTGCCCCTCATACATATCCAGCCAAAGGAAACTACAGCAGTATTTTACTTTCTCATAGTTGACAACAGGTACTGTATCAAATATTTTCAGTTATATGAGATAAATCCTGTAATGGGAATGGGTATAACCCTAAATTAAAGTTATCCAGTGTGGAGATGAGAGAGCTTGTTTTTCTGCAAAATAGTATGTTGTTATAAAGTCTCACTTCTCTAAATTGCAATGAAATTTTGAAATTTTATGAGGATAGCTTTATGTGAAAAGGTGTTTTTATATTTTCTGTATAAAAGGATCATAATGTCCTTATAAAGGATCATAGAATCACAGAATATTAGGAGTTG